AAAAAAAAAAAAAAAAAAAAAAAAAAAAAAAAAAAAAAAACCGGCCATGTGCCTGACTGAACTGCTAGAAAAAGCCAGCCCCAGTTTCAAACTGCTAAAATACAGTTTCAAATGCAATTGAAACTCGGAAATGCAATCACAAACTGTCACCCTGACTGCACGGTAGTTTTCTCAAAAAAAAAATCAAAAATACTGGAAACAAAACATGCTATGCAAAAAAAAAAACCTGAACAACTTTTGCCTCGTGGTCATATCCAAAAACTTTACTAAATTTGAAATTAAAAAACACATAAGTTCCATAGTTTTTCTTACCCAAAAAATAAAATAAACAGCTTTTGACTCAGGAAAATTAGTTTTTGAATTTTTAAAATTCAAAGAAGAACTCAAAAAGCAAAATAAAAAAATTTCATCTCGAAAGGATCTACAACATCATAGTTTCCTTTATTTTTTTTTTCTTTTCTAACCCTCAAAAAATTCCTGAAAGTCGCGGCTGCACCCAACCGCCGCCCGCCGAGTTTGACCCCATGGCCGCGCCCGCGGGTGATACATAGGCCCGCGCCGCGGGCCCGCAATCTAAACATCTCTGATCCTTTACAAGATGAACATGCTGAGTTCAGTGAGTTGAGTTCAATTGCCAACAGTAAGGCATTGTGCCCTGCTACCGTCTTTTCCCAAACACAACGCATCCTCATTTTGGCTGCACCTGACTGGAAAGATAGCCTTCTAGATTTGGTATCAGGGGAGAAAAAGGCTGTAGTCATAGTCGCATTGCCAGATGTTGTTTGTTTGTTTGTCTCAGACTGTCTGTCTGTTCTCCAAAAACAATTTCCAAGACATGCTGATGAGAACATTGAGAAGAGCTCTATGACATGTAGTCATAACTTGCTTCTCCTATTGGCGGCAAGACATGAGACGGGACTTTGTGACGAATGCGCGACGCTTGGCATGGTACATTTCGCTTGCGAAGCAGACCCTCATCTTTTCAAGCTCGTTCCGTCTGCATGACTCCAATGCGGCCATGAACTGGGGACATCTGCATCTGCCCTTCTTTTCCGGCATATGTTGCAGAGTTGCTGGGTCCTGAGCTATCTCCTCGGCCCGCTTAACCACCTGCTCAACAAATCTAAGGCTGTTTTCACACAGGATGTCATCGATCAGTCCCAGAGAAAGGGCCTGTCGTGCGGAGACCGGGTCAGTGCTAGACGTCAACTGGTGTGCCACCTCGCTGCCTACACGCTTGGGCAAGGAGTGCGTCCAGTACTCGGATCCGAAGAGATCCATGGCTTTATAGCTCGGGTGCAAAACGGCATTCGCGTGAGTCCACGTCAAGTCTGCGGCGATGGCGGTCATGACCCCACCTGCTCCCGCATTTCCAACCAACGCAGCTATGGTCAACTTGGTGCTGGTGAGGATGCACTTGACGACATCGTCGATGGCGTTTATGTTTCTCCAGCTCTCCTCTGCAGGATCGTCTGCCGCCTCGATGGTGTTGAGGTGGATGCCGTTGCTGAAGAAATCTCTGCCTCCCATCAACACCATCACATCTGTGCTCTCATCCTTCTCGATTTCAGTGATGGTCTGTGTGAGCCTCTGACACTGCTCTGTATTCATTGCCCCATTGTAGAAGTCAAACCACAGGTAGGCAATCCTCGCTCGCTGCCAAAGGAATATCTCCTGGAATGTGGAAGCAGCCGGCCACTGCCCGAACGGAAGCACGACCTTCGGCTCTGCAATGTGGGGCAGCTCAATTGGTGGCTCTGCATCCGGGAACAATGCCATGGTTGCTGGGAGCTTGATCAGTGATGTCGCTAGACGGACATGACTGATCCAGAGTGCTGTTTCGTCTCCACAGCAGACGAGAATGGCGTTGTGCCTACTGCCTATCACATCCCCTGGCTGCCTCTCATCTACAAGTGCCTTCAAGTTGCCGTCAGGTTGCTTCTCGACGTGGGCACCGTAGAGATGAACAAGCTTGTTGAGTATGGTTCCCATGGCACCAGGTTGTGAGTCGCAGCAGCGCACAATGCGGGCAATTTCGTGTGCGGGTAGGTTCCAGTCGACGGTCCTGTCGTCTGCTAGCATCCTTGGTCGTAAGCGGCCTTTCACATCAGGCTTGCTGTAGTCCAGAGGGCGGGGCTGTTGGCCACTTTGCAGCTTAGAGACGAACTCGCGGATGCACACCATGGCCACATCGATGCACTCGATGCGGTAAAGGCTGGACTTTGTCGGGTGTTCGCGCTCGATGAAGAACGTCTTGGTCGCCCAGATGGGACCGGCGTCCATCTCGCGATCCGCCTGCAGCAAAGTCACACCCCATTCCTTTGCCCCATCGTGCAGCGCCCAGTCGATGGAGGACATGCCTCTATCCCCTTCTATCCCTGGGTGCACGATGATGCAAGGCACATCCCTGTTTTCATAAATTGATGCCGGAACAAACTTTGTCAGATAAGGACAGAGAATGACATCAGGTTTCACCTGCTTGATCATGGCTATGGTGGCACCTTTCGTCTCCCACACCCCCACCACAGCCTCGTGCCCCAGACTCTCCAGCTCAAGCTTGGCTCGCTGCGTCATGCTGTTAAAAGCATCACACAGGAGGAGGAACTGCAACCGCCGTTGTTGCCCAGTCATTCCAGCGCACACATTTGCTTGATGTTCCTCACCTTTTGCAGTTGTAATCGGTCCAGCAGCCGAGTGTGCCTCTGGAGTTGCTGCCATCGCAGCACCAGTAGCAGGTACAAGTTCAGCTCCCATGGTTACAAGTTCGGCTCCCATGTTTACAAGTTCAACTCCCATATTTTCAAGTTCCTCTTTTTGCATGCAATAAAATTGAAGTCTAGGAATGCTCCTCACCCTCAGCTGCACACTTTACTGTCACAAAACTGAACAAAATGGACGCCTATGCTGTTTTAGAAATTCACAAGACGATAGTGGGCGTCAGCTGCAGCTTGGAGCAACCGATCGGTGATGGCGGTCCGCAGACTTTCCAGCGTCTACAGACTTCAACTGGCCTGTCAAGGATAATCAACACACCAAGAGTAATCTCAGCCACATGAAAAGTATCATGGAGAAATGCTCAGAGAAACAGTCAGGAGATGTTTATTTTCATCGAATGGATATCAACGCAGGCTATTATGCAGCACCATGGCTCAGAATCAATAGGGCCTTGTGATTTGTTTTCTTTGGGGGCGGCATGCAAGACAAGTACGTTGATGTCACTGCTGAGTATGGAATGAGCAAAAACGACACACACTGGCAAAGAAAACAGGCCGGGATGCAAGGAAAATGAGTGAGAGCGATAGACAGAAAACCAAATTGCAAAATCGCACTGTAGGCCAGATAGTTGTGTACCAAGCAGAAAGCACAATTCACCTGTGCGGAACCACCATTAACCGGTCACAGCGCGACGGAGTCCGGTCACCGGTCACGAAAATCGTGACCGGTTGTAGTTCACGGACTTCACGTAGAGTGGGAGCGATCTTTTTTTTTGG